CCAACAACGCCCCGCCTTCACACCGCTCCCCTCAGCAGCACTTGCTTCTGGCCATCAGCACCCCAATTCCAAAACCAGCGGGCAGGAGCTCCCTGGGGGTCTCTTGCCCAAGTGGGCAGCCCCAGCCACTCCCACGGCCAGCCTTGGCAGGACAAGCCTGTGACCATGAAGGACACAGGGGCAGAGCTGCAGAACCTCTGCGCGGGACCTTGCCCTGCCGGCTGGGCCTCCCCCTGAGTCTGACGAGTGGCACCGCAGCACCAGCACAGCTCCGGCCACTTGGCTTCCCGTCAAATCTTTGGGCATTTCAATAAAGCTTTGGATACCGTTTCTCACGGGTTCCTTCGCGACCAAGTGTCCAGCACACAGCTGGAGAAACACAGCTTGCCGTGGCTGAGCGCTCGGCTCACGGCTCCGGCACAGACGGCACTGGGCACTGGGGGAACTTCACGCTGGTCACCTGGCACTAGTCGGTTTGCACGGGGCTCCTTCTTAGGCCTTGTGCTCTTCCACATCTTCATCAAAGACTTGCAGGCAGGACTGCAAGGGACACTGAGCAAGTTTGCAGGTGACACAAAAGCGGCAGGAGTTCTTGTCTCCCTCAGAGGCAGGCAGGCCCCGCTGAGAGGCCTCGACTCCAATCTTTAGGGGCTGAGCAATCAGCAAGCCGAGGAAGTTCAACAAGGGAAAGTGCTGCATTCTGCAGCTGGCACGGGGCAAACCTGCATGGAGGGACCTACTGGGGAATGAGATCTTGGAAAGCTGGGGGTCCTGCTCCACAGCAGCAGCTGTGCAGCTATGAGCAGGTGGCTGATCTACTGCGCCTGCTGGTGGAGCTGCGAGAGGAGCTAGAAAGGTTCCAAAGTATGCAAGAGGAGGAGATGCACTGGGGGAGCCATGCTCTGGCCTCCTGGAGACAGTAGCAGTCATGGGAGAAAACAAAAGATCAAGGGTGTCCTGAACCCTGCTACCAGCAGGTTGAAGGAAGTGGATGAAAGGAAAGGGTTGAATGGAGGCGTCCTGCTGGGGGTAGGAGGAGGCAAAGGCCCTCCTTCCCAGAGTCACCGACTGCTTGGGCTTGGAAGGCACCCTAAAAACCAGGGAGTTGCAACCCCCTGCCACGGGCGGGGACACCTTGCGCTCAACCAGCTCGCTCAGACACTGCACTCTTAAGGAGAAGGGAGCCCCTAAGATTTGGAAACGCTCGTGCTCCAGAGGAATGCCCAAAGTCCCAAGGTCCACGAAAAACTCCAAGTCGTTTAGAAGGAAATTCCATCCTTGGCATGGACGGTGGTCTGTTAGTGCCTGAGCTAGTGGAGAAGCACACAGCAGGGGGCTTTGGAAAAAGGGCTCGGGTGCAAGGGAAGAGAGAGGCAAGGGATGAATTCAAGAGGCGAGGGAGGGAAAGAGACAAAGAAGAGAGACGACTCCCCAGGCAGCCCCAGCCCCAGCCTGGCAGGACGAGAAACAGAAGAGGCCTTGACACTGGGCAAGTTCTGCTCAACCTTTCTCTTTATTTTCAAGTTGGAAGCAGAAAGGGAGCAAAATAGAACCCCACGTGGAGGAGATGCAGAAGATGGAAGCCTCTCCTGACTATCTATCTTAGCCTAAAGCACCCCTTGGGAAAACACTAGCTTCAAATCTAACCCCCTACAAGCCTAAGGCCATCCTAAGCCTAACTCTAGCCCAGCCTAAACCAACCCTTGGAAAATCTAACCCCCTCCTTAATCTATCCCTCTCTACTCTTATCCTAGTCAGCTATCCTACTCTTAACTCTACCCCAGACTAAACCCGCCCTTGGAAAATAGAACCCCACCCTAAATCTATCCCACCCTGCTCTTATCCTACTCTACTATCCTACTCTAACTCTAGCCCAGACTAAAGCAGCAGGTGGGAGAGCTGCAGGTGCCTATTCCAGCACCAGGAAGTTGCCTGGCCGGCCCTGCCGCAGTGCCAAGAGCAGCTCAGCGCAGAGCTGCACCGGGCAGGGGCCGGTCAGCAGGAGCCTGCAGGAGCGGGAGGAGGGCAGCAGCTGGAGCTGCCAGTCGTGCCACTGGGGCAAACGCTCCCAGGCTGCTTCCACCAAGCTCTGCACCCAGGCGGCGGTTTTCTCCACCTCCAAGTGGGAGTCTGTGCAGAGGGTGCGTAGCAGGCGCGAGGGCTGAGCGTCGTGCGTGGGGTGGACAAAGCACGACGTCTCCCCCGTGGTGCTGGAGCACGAGCACTCCAGCACCACCCGGATGTTGGAGCACCTCTCTGGCACCTTCCTGCTGTTGGGCGGCTGCAGCTGGAAAGAGTGCCTGGGGGGTGGCCTGAGGAAGACGACCAGCTGGTAGATGATCTGGTGCCCCAGGTCACTCCAGGACTCGAGGGTGCCCTGCTTCTGGGTGGCCGGGTGCAGCTCTGGCATGAAGGTGTTCTGGGAGAGCACCTGGCACACCTCCAGCAGGTCCCGCACCAGCTTCTTCAGGGTGCGGCCCATGTAGGGCAGTTCGTGCAGCGGTGACCGGCTGAGCTCCGGGAAAGGCCTGACAGCCCCGGCTGCTGCGCCGAGCTCTTCTTCCTCCTCTCCTCGCCAGCTGTCCCGCTGACGGCGCCAGGCCAGCCAGCAGAGCACAGCTGCTGCAGCCACCCAGAAGAGCCAGTGCTGCAAGATCCACAGGAGTGGAACTTTTTCCAGGGCCCTCCTCCACTCAACTTCCTCCCACAGCTCGCTCATCTTCTCTTCGAGAAAAATCTGCCGTCTCTTCATCCGCTCCGCAGCGACTGCATCGCTCGGGCGATCGTGGGTCGGCTTGGGCAGGACGGCCAGCACAGCCAGGAGGAGCACGAGTGCTGAATCCATGGCCTGCAGGAGATGGGAGACGAGTTAGCTCAGCGGCTCGCGCTGGGAGGGAGCGTGGCGATCGAGACTTGAAGGGAAGGCAGTGCCTGGCTGCAGACAGCACAGGGCCCATCCTGCCCCAGCCCGGAGCCTCCTTGTCAGCCCCTGGCTGGGCTGTGCCCCGGCAAAAGACCTCCCGAGAGAACCCCATCCCTGCCACGCCACAGCAGCCCATGGAGCCAGGGGCAGCCGACCCCTCCCCAAAACCTCTTTGGGTGCTTGCCACCACAGAGAGCCCGGAGCAGCTGTGTGCCAGGCCCCAGGGGCACAACTGGGCCCTGCTGGGAGGGACTCAGCTTTCCCTCAGGGCTACAAACCCCCCTGGGCATCATCCCCATCCCCCATCCATCCCAGCTTTCCCCCTGCATCTGTACTCACTGATCGCCCAAGTCCAACTGCCCTGGGGCTGCCCGCTGTTGTCCTTAGGGACAGCTCCCATTGTGACCTGTCCGCTGTGACGTCACAGCCGCCAGAGACACCAGAGTCACGCAACCAACAACGCCCCGCCTTCACACCGCTCCCCTCAGCAGCACTTGCTTCTGGCCATCAGCACCCCAATTCCAAAACCAGCGGGCAGGAGCTCCCTGGGGGTCTCTTGCCCAAGTGGGCAGCCCCAGCCACTCCCACGGCCAGCCTTGGCAGGACAAGCCTGTGACCATGAAGGACACAGGGGCAGAGCTGCAGAACCTCTGCGCGGGACCTTGCCCTGCCGGCTGGGCCTCCCCCTGAGTCTGACGAGTGGCACCGCAGCACCAGCACAGCTCCGGCCACTTGGCTTCCCGTCAAATCTTTGGGCATTTCAATAAAGCTTTGGATACCGTTTCTCACGGGTTCCTTCGCGACCAAGTGTCCAGCACACAGCTGGAGAAACACAGCTTGCCGTGGCTGAGCGCTCGGCTCACGGCTCCGGCACAGACGGCACTGGGCACTGGGGGAACTTCACGCTGGTCACCTGGCACTAGTCGGTTTGCACGGGGCTCCTTCTTAGGCCTTGTGCTCTTCCACATCTTCATCAAAGACTTGCAGGCAGGACTGCAAGGGACACTGAGCAAGTTTGCAGGTGACACAAAAGCGGCAGGAG